TTTGATACGCTGTTTTTTGCATATTTCAGACACATCCAGAAATATGCTCCCGATTTTAAACATTAATATCTCCGTGAATTTTTAAGTGAAATACAACTGTAATATATCAAAATCTAAGTTAGTCCTTCGTCTATTTGATGCAAGTCTTTAAAAGGTTTACTTGTTTAGAAGTTATTACGAATCAAATCGGAGTACTTTTTTTTGGCACACCCGGTATATATATTCGACATTTTAGTATTTGCCTGTGCATCCAAAGCAGCACTTTCCTTGCGATAGTAACCCCTAGACTTAATTGATTCCAATTGAAAAAAAGGATGTGGTTTTAATCCAAATATCTTATTTATAGGTTTGGAAATCAAAGAAAAACCAGCACTGGATTAGTTTGCAGCAGCTATATATAAACAATGGGGAATATACAAAAGAAACATCAGCTAGACGAGCACCTAAACGCCGGACTCTCCTATAAAAAAAGCCATCAATTTAACCTGGCAGTTGAAAACTTTCAACGAGCCTTGATATTAGCCAAAGAATTGAAAGACGGGGAGAAAGAGTCCAAGGGAAACATTCAGTTAGGAGATGCTCACAGATTGAACAATCAGATTGAAAGGGCAATGGAATACTATGAAAAAGCCATGGAAATTGCCAAAGAACGAGGATATAAACACGAGGAAACAAGTGCGTACCTTGGCTTAGGAAAAGCTCATATATTGAACAATCAGATTCAAGAGGCAACTAAATACTATGAGCAAGCCATGGGAATTGCAAAAGAACGAAAAGATCAAGCTCAGGAGACAACGGCATACCTTGAGTTAGGAAATGCTTATAGATTGAACAAACGGTTTCAAACGGCGATTAAATACTATGAGCAAGCCTTGGAAATTGCAAAAGAACGAAAAGATCAAGCTCAGGAGACAACGGCATACCTTGGGTTAGGAGAAGCTTATAGTTTGAACAAACGGTTTCAAACGGCGATTAAATACTATGAGCAAGCCTTGGAAATTGCAAAAGAACGAAAAGATCAAGATCAGGAGATAATGGCATACCTTGGGTTAGGAAATGATTGTAGATTGAACAATCAGTTTCAAACGTCAATTAAATACTATGAGCAAGCCTTGGACATTGCAAAAGAACGAAAAGATCAACATCAGGAGACAACGGCATACCTTGGGTTAGGAGATGCTTGTAGATTGAACAATCAGTTTCAAACGGCTATTAAATACTATGAGCAAGCCTTGGAAATTGCAAAACAACGAAAAGATCAAGATCAAGAGACAACGGCACACCTTAAGTTAGGAAAAGCTTATAGATTGAACAATCAGTTTCAAACGGCAATTAAATACTATGAGCAAACCTTGGAAATTGCAAAAGAACGAAAAGATCAAGATCAGGAGACAACGGCATACCTTAACTTAGGAAAAGCTTATAGATTGAACAATCAATTTCAAGGGGCAATTAAATACTATGAGGAAGCCTTGGAAATTGCAAAAGAACGAAAAGATCAAGCCGAGGAGACAACGGCATACCTTAACTTAGGAAAAGCTTATAGATTGAACAATCAGTTTCAGGGGGCAATTAAATACTACGAGGAAGCCTTGGAAATTGCAAAAGAACGAAAAGATCAAGGTGAGGAGACAACGGCATACCTTAACTTAGGAAAAGCTTATAGATTGAACAATCAGTTTCAAACGGCAATTAACTACTATGAGCAAGCCTTGCAAATTGCAAAAGAACGAAAAGATCAAGATCAGGAGACAACGGCATACCTTGGGTTGGGAGATGCTTGTAGATTGAACAATCAGTTTCAAACGGCAATTAAATACTATAAGCAAGCATTACGAATTGCAAAAGAACGAAAAGATCAAGATCAGGAGACAACGGCATACCTTAAATTAGGACTTGTTTATAAATCAAACAATCAGTTTCAAACAGCAATTAAATGCTATGAGCAAGCCTTGAAAATTGCAAAGAAACTAAAAAATAAACACAAAGAAAATATTGCGAGATATGAAATTGAAGAATTGTCAAGAATTGCTGGTATGTTTAGGCATTTGAATGTCCTGGTTGGTTAGGCCATGGTTACATTACAAAAGTAAAGTTTTCAAATGTTCTGCAAATTAACAAAAATGAGTTCGGTTCAAGTGAAAACTTGAGATTATCTTAAACTTAGTAAGAATTGTTTGAGAAGCCCTAAGGGGTAACTCTACCCTAGGAACAGGGGTTTTCCTGTTTCGCTTAAGCTGTAGCCTGCCCTCAGGGCGCTGGCCAAGCTTGGAAATCTAAAACTGGCCTGACACCAGAAAACCTCTGAACCCAGGGTAGGGTAACTCAGTATATAATCCCAAAGTTAAGCCCGAGTTTAGAAAACCGTCGAATGCAGCTGCCCATGGACATAACAAATTTTCACTTTTTGTATCTATTTACAGTTTGGCTAAATATAACAATTTTCATACACTCAAATATTCATGCAATTCAAAGGCGGGATACAACAACAGTACATCACAGTCACTGTCGTTCCAATTGAAGTGTTCCTCAAATTGATTCAATACATTACCTCAGGCTGTCCAATTCATTTCATCAAGTTCCTCGAGATATTCATACACTTCCTGTGAAAGAGCCAATTCCAAGAATTTGATCATTTCTGGTCACTTCCTTTCTATTTATGATTGGTTAGTTGCACAAACAACAAAGGTGATTGGTGCATTCGAACTATTCGACAGGAAGTTTACAATGATACTAGGAAGTGTATGAATATTTCGAGGAACTTGATGAAATGAATTGGTCAGGCCGAGGTAATGTATTGAATCAATATTTGAGGAACACTTCAATTGGAACGACAGTAATAGAAATGGGCTTAAATCAATGTGTGCCCATATATTGACACAAAGCTTTAATAGTTATCTA